CACTTCTGCTCCTCAGGTTTGGCAGGGGCAGTGATAGAGGTGACATTGTTAGTTTTTTTTTGTTGTTGTTGTTTTTTTTCCTTCCAACTTGTCAAGCAAAACTCCTTCATACCTTTATTTAAAGTATATAATTGGGGCTGGAAAGATCGCTCAGCGGTTAAGAGCACTGACTGCTCTTGCAGAGGCCCTGGGTTCAAGTCTCAGCACCCACGTGACGGCTACAAACTGTCCTTAACTCCAGTTCCAGGGGAATCTGAAGCCCTCTTCTGACCTCTGTGGCATTACATGACATGGGTGCACTCACATACATGCACGCAATACACTCATACACAAAAAATAATAAAATATTTTTAAAAATTAAATAAATAAAGTATATAATTACATTTAAAATTAATATTTCCAGCACAACCCAGCAGCCTCTCTCCAGGGAGCCCTCTGGGCCTAGTCCTGCCCTCACCTCCCTCTGCTTCCCTGGGCTGAACAACCTACCAGCCTCTTTCCTGGACACTGGGGCTGACCCCTTGGACCAGAACTACCACTGCTTCCTGATCTCTTGCATACAGACAAACCCAGTTCCTTCTCGAGGTCCCCAGGAGCCCTATGGGCCTGGTTCCACCCTCACCTCCCTCTCCTTCCCTGGGCCTGCACAACCCACCAGCCTCTCTCCTGGGAAAGTCTGTCACACCCTCCACGCCTTGACTCCCCCAGCCTCATTCACCCTCCCATCTCCCCCACCCATCTCTCCTAGCCTGGGTACTGTCCCATTCCTTATCTTGGCACCCCAGACACCGGGGGAATCACCACTGCTTCCTGATCCTTTGCATCCAGACCAACCCAGTTCCTTGTCACGGTCCCCAGGAGCCCTCTGGGCCTGGACCCACCCTCACCTCCCTCTGCTTCCCTGGGCTGCACAACCCACCATCCTCTCTCCCAGGAGCCCTCTGGGCCTGGGCCTGCCCTCACCTCCCTCTGCTTCCCTGGCTTGCACAACCCGCCAGCCTCTTTCCTGGACACCAGGGCTGACCTCTTGGCTTCCTGATCTTTTGCATCCAGATCAACCCAGTTCTTACCTACAGTCCCCAGGAGCCCTTGGGGCCTCTTCCTGCCCCCATCTCCCTTTGCATCTCTGGGTGGCACGGCCACCAGCTGCCCAAGACCAGCATCTTTCCTGGGCCTTGCTCCCAGGACAGTCCAACCCCCAATTCCTGAGGACATCATTTTTCCTGGAGGGATCCAGACCTCAGGAGAAAGCCTGAGATGGCTAAGAAGCATCTTAAAAGATGTTCAGCATCACTAGTAATTATGGAAATGCAAATTAAAACCACTTTAAGATTTCATCTTATCCCAGTCAGACTGGCTAAGACCAAGAGAACAAATGATACCAAATGTTGGAGAGGATATGGGGAAAGGGGAATGCTCATCCACTGCTGGTGGGGCTGCAAACTTGTTTAATCCCTATGAAAAGCAGTGTGGAGAACTCTTAAAAAACTACAAATGAACCTACCATTTGACCCAGTTATACCACTCCTTGGCATATACCCAAAGAACTCATCCTATTGCAGATACACTTGTACATCCATGTTTGTTGCTGCTCTTTTCACAATAGCTAAGAGATGGAAGCAACCTAAGTGTCCCTCAACTGACATGTGGATAATGAAAATGTAGTTCATTTATACGATGGAATTTTACTCAGCAATAAACAAAGCTGAAATTATGAAACTTGCAGGTAAATGGATGGAACTAGAAATGGTTATACTAAGTGAAGTAACACAGATTCAGAAGAAAACAAAACGGCGTATGTTCTCCCTCATATGCAGATCCTAGCACGAAATCCTTGTAAGTGAATATGTATCCAAACATAACTACAGGAGCCAGGATAATGAAGAAGAACCAGGGAAGTAAAGGAAAAGAATCTGAAAGAGAAGAACAGTAGAAAACAGGTGTTAACAAGGGAGATATGGACAATAATGGGGTTATTTTAAGGGGAGGGGGGAGAGGTTATCCAAGCAACCTAGGGGATAAAGGGAAAGAAGGTGCTCAAGAGAGATGGGACCATAGAAGGGTATTATTAAGGGAGAAATGGAAAAAACGGGGGCACCTTAAATGGGAAACCATGGTGGAAAGGTTAGAGAATGTTAGAAATAAAGAATGCCTACCTAGTTTTAGAAAACCAGAGGGAACCACATTAGGCCAACAACCTACTGACAAATTGTACGTACAACCAGATCAAAGAATGTATGTAATATATGCCTAGGCAAGGTTTATCTGAGAACGTTTGGTCTTTGCCCAAGCTCTGTTTACATGGTATATGGTAATTGAAAGTACCAGACTGGTGAAACTAACCTTCTTAGATGTTTAACAGCCATACTTTAAGGCCTATACTAATTTGGTCAGGAAGACATAAAGGACAATTTTTGCCCCTTGCCCTCCTAGGTCAACTAAGTTCCAGGGGACCATGAGCATCTCTCAAAATGTCCTGTAACTGTGGTGAGTCACCTGTCCTCTTGAGCAGAGAGGTGGTGGAGACCCCACCAGATGGACCTGAACCAGTGTCTAGTCTACAAAGAGGAGGGTCAACACGGAGGAAACATTTCCTCCATGCTTCCAAGCGAAGCCAGCAGTGGTTGAGCAGGACCTTTGACTTATCTTCACATAGAACTGGTAAAAGAAAGGAGCCAGCGGCTCCTCCCAAGCCCATGTGATCCCTGAGGAACAGATCCTCAAACAACCTTAAGAGTAAAAATAAATTGTTTTATCTGGGCCAACTGTAGGGTCTTAAACACCCAAGAGGAAAGTATAACCAAAGATTAATGGGGTCAATATAATTTTTAAGAGTCCATATGTTTAGCTAAAGGCTACATAACAAGAAACAATGCCAGACAGGAGATGCCTTCCTTTGTGTTATTGGCCAAGATGGCCCAAGAGACTCCCAGACAGTAACCCAGCATAGAACTGGGAAAATGAACAGAAGACCCCAATCTTATCTAAAGGAATATTAACAACTGATTGCTGCTAGATGAGGAACAGCTGATCTTCCTAAAACAAGCTCTCTAGATAGGCTGACTAGGTTCAGCAGATGAACAAGCACTGGAAAATGGCTGGGGGTATTGACAACATTGAGGACAGTAACAGGGATTACAGAGTATGTGGGCTCTAGTATGTGGGATGGGGGAGGTTATGAGAAGGTGCCATTTGGGAAGTGGGTATATAGATGAATAATACTGTGTGGGATATTCTGTATGATATACACAGAAAAATCAAATTAAAAAAAGACATATTTGAGGAAGAAGTATAAAAATTTACTTCATGATAAATAGTACAAGTGATAAACATTACCAATGAAATCTACCTGATGACTTTATATCCATAGTCAGGTACTAAGGATCCGAGTGTAACTGACTGTGACTACTAATCATCAGATACATAAAGATTAGAGACACGTGCAAACATCTAAATGTTAGTAGCATTAAAAATGTAGGAAACAGCATATTTTAAAATGAAATGGAAATCTTCTTTAAAGGGTTAAAACTCATTCAATTTTATATCGTACAGAGTTTATACTGAGTTCAATATTGTATAACAGTAGTAAGTCAACTGTGAACCTAAAAATTTATAGCCACTTTTGAAAGAGATGTATCCTTGCTCTGGATTGTGTTACTGAATATGTGAAAGCTGTGATGAAGTGCTTCTTCTAATCATGTGGTTATTTCCATAGCTGACTAGGATGTACCAAGAAGATGCACACAGCCTGGGGGTATTGGGGATCCATGTTTGACCTCAGGTAGCACCTTTTTAAAGAGTTAAAGTTTGATGATAGGCTCATAGGAAGTTTGTAAAAGTCTTATATTGGCAGTTTTTGTTTTTACAACATGATGGGGTACAGAAATAGATTAACAATAGGATGAGAATACTTACTTGATCTACACATGAAGGTAAGCTTGAGAGACACAAACTTGCAGTATGAAAAGAAAGCTAACATTGAATTTTGAAGGGATGATCAGTAGATATTAAATTTGACAATAGTACAAATAGTTACTTTTCAAACACAAGATAGACTTATACTTTGGGTCCATCATAAAACATCTGAGGGCGTGATGGCAAGATTTAGATCTAGGACTATTGCGTATATTTGCATGATAGACATTCTAAACTGGGAGAAAGGGGGTAGCTAAACTTTTGTTTGCTCTGGGCTTTCAAGAGCCATGAGACCCGGCACACAACTGCTGAGAAGAAGAGGGGCTTTTTTTGTCGTCGTCGTCGTCGTTGTTGTACTCGTCCAGTGACACAACACCTTTGTAGTTTGTCTGCCAGGAGGGTGTCACCTTTTTGTAAGTGGTTTGAGATATAATATATGCCAGATAAACTCTCTTTGGGACCCCAGACTTGAAATAACTTTTATCAATTTATCAACAAGGTTTCTTCAGAGGTCATTTGGTTATTAAGTTTTACTAGATCTTAACTACAAAGGGTTCTGGCATTCTAAAACATGAAGCATAGATTCTGAAGAAATGCCACAACTAAAAGCTCGCAAAGCACGCACCATCCTAACTCATCTTACAGCTTGCAGGTACTATGGGCAAGTGAGAACCAGTTCTGAGCATTAGTTTTTACTTTGGGAAAGGAACACCTACGAGTCATGCTGATTATCCTCTGCCCTAATACTTATTTAAAAACTCTGTTAAGATGAACGCTATCTAGGACATTCAATCAATTTAAGGTGGAATATGTGGTTTTTATAGAAGATGTAATGGACCTAGAAGGTAGTGAATGCCTACTCTAGTCGGTGCCTGAGCCACCGACTCACTCTTCCCAATGCAAGTAGCTTATCTCTCTAGTATACCAAATAAAAGTTATCTTCCAGTTAGGATACTTTTATGATTTATTAAAAAAAATAAATAAAACCTTTTTCTAGCCAGATCTTTAGCACACATTGGTAGAAAAGCATTGCTTGAAATCCTTTGAGTCAGATAATGATTTGCATTCTTGTTCTTGTTTTTCAGAAACTCTGTGAAGGCATCTTTAAAGTCCTTGGAAAGGACGTCCCAACAACATGTCAAGTGTCCTGCCTGGAAGTACTCCGCATTCTCTCCAGAGACAAAAAGATTTTAGTTCCTGTAACGACTAAGGAGAATATGCAGATACTGCTGAAACTAGCCAAGCTCAGTGAGGCGGATGATTCTTTGGAGAAAACATCAGAGTTCCCAGTTATTGTGGAATCATTAAAATGCCTGTGTAACATAGTGTTCAACAGTCAGATGGCACAGCAGCTCAGCCTGGAACTTAATCTTGCCGCGAAGCTCTGTAACCTCCTGAGAAAGTGCAAGGACCGAAAATATATCAATGACATTAAGTGCTTTGACTTGCGCTTGCTCTTCCTCTTGTCACTTTTGCACACTGATATCAGGTCACAATTGCGCTATGAGCTCCAGGGACTACCGCTGCTAACCCAGATCTTAGAAAGTGCCTTTAGCATCAAGTGGACCGATGAGTATGAATCGGCCATAGACCATAATGGACCTCCTCTTTCACCTCAGGAGACAGACTGTGCCATTGAGGCCCTCAAAGCTCTCTTCAATGTGACGGTAGACAGTTGGAAGGTGCATAAAGAGGTAAGACTGGGAAGAGTATTCTTATCTACTTGGAATTTAATTGGTCTGGGCTGTCCTTACAGCTGCACACAAAAGAGGAATGCTAAGTAGGGAAAAGGGAAAAAAGTTCCAGATTCCCTCATGAGTCAGTTCTGTGAACTGAAAGATGTTTCTTTACTATTGTTGTATTCTTTCCATTGTTTACTACCTATCAGGTATAGAGTAAGGATGGACTACTGTTTTATAAGTGCCAGATGTAGCTAGTTTTTGAGTTCTATCACTTGTCTTTTTTAAAGAACAAGGTTTAAATTACAAGATTTGAAGAGAACAGTATAGGTACTTTTAATGGCTGCCATCTGAAGAATTAAAGTAAATCCAGTTGATTAAAATTGATGAACCAAAATTGGTATCTGCACAGAAGGGTAAAAGTCATTATGCACACCTATCATAGTGTTCTAGGGCGTTACTTTATGAAGTACAACTAGATATCCATGCTTATATTCAGTCTAGAAAACAGGCATAATTACATCAGAGTGTGGGAGAAGTTTTAAACCACTTGACTTATTTCTAGACTAAGATCCTTCCTTCTCTGTGGCTTGGACCTTCCGACAACCCCAAGTGAGGCAGATTTGATAGTTTATACTTGAGTACCCACAAGAACAATATGCTAAACATAAACTTACTTTCAGGAAGTCAACAATTTTAAGTGAAGGGGATATAAACTCTTTCCTTTCTTCAAGAATCCTAACATTTTTCTCTTGTTAACCATAAAAAATTTAAAAATTACCATCAGAGATGGGGATATACACCTTTTATCCCAATTCTTGGGAGGCAGGGGCAGGCAGACCTCTGTGAGATTGAGGCTATTCTGGTCTATATAGCAGGTTTCAGGCCAGCTGGGCCACAGGAAGACCCTATCTTAAAAAAAAAAAAAAAGTGAAAACTAGCCCCTGTCTTTTTTTTGAAAAACACAATTACCTAAAATGCAGGTTAACTTTTTGTTATGTAGCAGGTTTCAGGCCAGCTGGGCCACAGGAAGACCCTATCTTAAAAAAAAAAAAAAAGTGAAACCTAGCCCCTGTCTTTTGTTGGAAAACACAATTGCCTAAGATGCAGGTTAACTTTTTGCTATGTCCATTTGAAGTGGATCTTGCCCTTGAATACAGATCTGGTTTTGCCAGTAGCTTTCTTTACCAGGACTGTCTCGGTGAAGCAAGCTGCAGTGGGAGTATGCAGCATCTGAGCTGTAAAGTGCAAATAGGTCTTATTTTGAAACCAAATATTTGAAGATCAGTCCTAACAGCTGTTTTAGATGACTGTGGTATAGTCAGTGTTTCCTGAGACTTGGCAGTGAAGATGTGGAAAGCCCACATGCTCCATTTATGCTTTGAAATCAAATATTTGAAAGTATTTAAATATTATGTCTCTGCTTATTTGGCACCTTCTGTGGTTATTTTTCTTACACTGTTTATTTTGGTGTTTTTAAGTTCTCTATGTAGTTGTAAGAGCTCCTCTGAGACTTGGTTTGCCATTGTTGGAGCCTCTTTTATTTAAGATATGCCCAAAATAGTAACTCACACTGTTCAAGTTCCTGACAAAATGATTTGTAATTCAGTGACTGCACACACACACACACACACACACACACACACACACACACACGTGATAGCATGTAATAAAAGTAAATTGAGACAAGCTTCTGGTAGTGTGCCTCAGCTAACAGGCTTGAAGAAGCTCTAGAAAATGTTGAAGTAGCAAATACTCATTCCATATTATCAAATGTTCTCTAAAACACAAGAATCTACTGATGAAGGATCGATGGTCCTAGAATAGATATACCTGTGTGAGTCATTGGTCAGTTGATGTGTATGCTAGGAAATGTGTAGTTATGGTACCTCTGGGCTGATGTTAAAGTTTTCAGAAATATAAAGTTTTGAAATTAGAATCCTTGCCAACCCACTTAGAAAAGAATGTCTTCATGTATCTCCAAATTCAGCTTTTCACAAATGTCATTCAGTCACTCAGCAGATCTGCCTGGTCTGCATACAAGTTCCAGGCCACCTGGGGCTACCTGGAGACCCTGTCTCAAAAAGACAAAAAACATACAAACCCAACCAACCAACCAACAATAAATAATAAAAGATTAAAAAAAAAAAAAGGTACCTTACATTATTGTTGCTATTACTGTTTCTTTTTAAAACTTTGGGTTGTAGCTAGGATTTCATTAGGAAGAAAAAAGTTCTGCAGCCAGGACAAGCAAAAGTTGTTGTCAAAAGACAGCTACCACCCAGTTTATTAAAGATGATAAATCCTGGGGCTAGAGAGATGGCTCAGCAGTTAAGAGCACTGATTACTCCTGAAAAGGACCTGGGTTCAATTCCTAGCACCCACATAGTGACTAACAGCTATTCTTAACTCCAGTTCCAGGGGATCTGATGCCGCCTTCTGACCTTCATGGGCATTGTATGACACAGGCGCACTAACATACATGCAAGCAATATACTCATACACAAAAAATAAAAATAATGAAAAATTTTAAAAAGATGATAAATCCTTATGAAAGAATACTCATAAGTTTGAAATACTTGAATATAAACAACCCTGATAAATAAAAATATGAAAATATAAGTATTTATAAAGATGTCTCAACCTCCTAACAAACTTCCTGCGTAGAGGCAGTTGATTGCAATTGCTTGCTCTTTTAAGCATGAATATAATGGATTTTCTTGTAAAGTCTTTGTAGCTACATTTCTGAAAATAAGGGGCCGAAAGATTTCAAAATTGTAAGACTTTAAAAATATATATTTCCATATTTTGTCCACGTATATATTTTTCAACTCTGGATATTTAACTTTAGATTTTTGTGCCTATTTTACAGCTTAACAGTTAAAGGACATAGAGTTAAGCTGTTTGGTTTGAGTGTTAGGTACTTAGCTATGACGGCTCTCCTTTATATTTCACCAAAACCAGAAAACTAATGACCAGGTTTTTCTTGAAGTTTAACAGATTAGTGCCACTTACTCATTTTAGTTCATGCCTAACTGTTAAATCCATGACTGCATGCTGATGACATCATCGACAGGTTAATTTAGAGATTCCCTTCCTTCAAACTGGTCTCATTTCCACTTTCTCCCTCATCCTCTCCCCTACTCCCTGCCCCTCCCCACCTTTCTCCCTGTTTCCCTCTCATAAGGATAGAATGTTTGAAAAGGTCAGTGATTTCTCCAGCAGAGCATAAAGTTAGTTCTAGAAAAGGTAGTTTGAAATAGTCTTGTTTTCTCCTGCTATAATATTTTCCGAAATATCTCCATTGATGGAGCAATTTGTTTTCCAAGAAATCCTTTGTTTAGTGTGGCACATTCCCTTCTCCCATACTTCCTAAACATCAGAGCAATGTAAAAAGAAAGCGTAGGGCCAGCAGACACATTAGAGACAGACAGCCCAGTGCAGACAGAGAAGTACAAGTGTCTAGGTGCTTGAAAGATGCTGTTTGTAGAGGTTGTTTCAGTAGGTGCCCATAAAAATTAATTGCAAATGTCACATTGAAACAGCAGTATTATTCTAGAGATGTTGAAAGACTGTGGGAAAGACTAGACTACTACTTAGATCAAAGTGCAGCTTTGGGCTACACAGTGTTTAATTGCTAAATTGTCATTTCTCTTTTTTTTAATTTATTCTTTGTTTTTTTTTTCCTAAGATTTTGCTTTACTTTTAATTGCACGTGTGTGTGTGCATGTGTGTGTGTGTTTGTGTGTATGTTCACAAGAGTGCCTGCAGAAACAAGAGGGCATCAGATCCCCTGGAACTGGAGTTAAAGGCAGTTGTGAGCCACCGGATACGGGTGCTAGAAACTGAACCCAGGTCCTCTGCACCACTGAGCCATTATTCTAGCTCCCAACCTTTTTTAAATTGTTTAATTGAATTTTTGCAAGTTTTGCACATTTTGATCAAATTTAAATCCCCTTCCCCACCTGTACCTCCACCACTACCTCCCCACCCAATTTCATGTACGTGTGTGTGTGTGTGTGTGTGTGTGTGTGTGTGTGTGTAAAGGCCTATAGAGTCAAACTTGTCCCCTTCAGTTTGGATCCATACACTGGTCATCCTATCAAGAGTCTCATCCTTAAAAGAGACTGACACCACCCCTCCCAGCAGCCATCCAATAGTTCTTAGGTAGGGTTGGGGTTTCTAACCCACATGCCCATGTCCATGCTGGAATTTTGTCTGGCTTGAGTTTACATAGGACTTGTACTGTTACCATTGCTGTGAGTGCATATGAGTAACTGCCAGCTGTCTGGAAAACTCTTGTTTTCCTGTGGCATGCACTTCCTCTGACCCTTACAGTCTTTCTGCCTCCTCTTCTCCAATGATCCCTGAGCCTTGGGAGACAGAAGTTTGATAGAGGTGTCCTGTTTGGGGATAAGCAGTCTGCACTGCACTGCATGTTGGTCAGTTGTGGTATTGTGTTAATCACCATCTACTACATAAGGAGACTTCTCTAGTTAAGAGTTGAGAGATGCATTAATCTATAGGTATAATAATAAATCATTAGGAGTCTGTTTAGTATTATATCTGTTTTTGAGAATAATAGTATTGGGCTCTCACCTATGGTCTGTGATCTGTCTAGCCACAGGTGCCTAGGCCTGATATCAATGTCAGTTATGGGCTCCATCTTAGAAAGCAGACCTTAAATCCAATTAGAAAGGGGTTGAGGGGGCTGGAGAGATGGCTCAGTGGTTAAGAACACCGGTTGTTCTTGCAGAAGACCCAGATTTGAATCCCAGCATCCATATGGCAGCTAACAACTGTAACTCCAGTTCCAAGGGATCCGACAGTCTCTTCTGTCCTCTACAAGCATTGCACGGCACGGATGCACTTACCTACATGCAGGCAATACACGCATACACATAAAATAAAAATAATAAAATATTAAAGAAAAAAGAAAGGGATTGATTACTCTCATACCGACTTTTCATGTCACTCTTGCACCAGTGGACATATCTTGCCAGGCCAGTTGTAACAAGATTCACAGCTGGGTAAGGATGAGGATTAGTTTTCTCTCTGGTCAGTAGCATGCATAGCACCTTCTAGCACTGTGAAAGCTAGCCAGCAGAGATGAGGCTTTGAAGTCAGTAACAGCTTGATTTCTCCTTGTTTGTTCTACAGTTTGTGTCTGCAGATCTTCAGAAATAGTGAAAAGTAGGCAAAGGCTTGAGTAGGAACTTGGTAGAAGAGCTGAACAAATAACATAAAGTAAACATAAGAAGTTCTACTTTGTCATCTTAACATGCACAAAAAAAACAAGAAGCTACTGCATATCCATGAAAACAACTAAAATTAAGAGGCCGAGAGTGTGAAGTGTCAGTGCAGCTATAGAGAAACTGCTCACATAAATGGATAGGATTGGTTATGAGGTGTGCACTCTGGAGAGGCTTTGTAACTATCTACTTAGAAACACTGTTCAGCCAGACTCAATAAAGGAGAATCTGAAGTGTGACCTGGTGCATTCCCTAAGGCTCAGCATCCCTTCTTCTGGTTTTAAACCCAGCACACTCCAGATAACGTGTAGCGAGGATGTTCATGGCGGCACTCTTCAGAATACTACAAACAGGAAGCAGTCCAGGTGCCCATTGGGAGTAAGATGAAGAAGGAAATTGTGACATATTCACTGTAATATATTCATATGAGAGCAGTGCTTTTAAAATTACTTTGCATGTGTAAGTATGTGTGTTCACATGTGTGTAGGCACATGTGTGTGCTGGTGTGTGTATGCCTGTGGAGGCCAGAGATTGACGTAGGATGATTATCCACCACTTTACTTGAGGCAGGGTCTCGCTGAATCCAGAGCTTGCTAATCCTGCTAGACAAGCAAGCACTTTATCCACTGAGCCATCTTCCCAGCCCCAGCAGTGCACCCCCATCCCCCAGTGCTTCTTTTTAATCTATGGAAAAAGCCCAGAACTTTTGCCCCTAGCCGTCTGAATGAAAGTCTTCTGCTGTACAGCTTTACCCCAGTACCAGAGTGCTCAGAAAGTCTCCAAATGCTCAGACACTAACGCTGTACTCATGGCATCGCACATCAGTGCCAGGCAGGGTGTGGCTTAGCCCAGGACGTCAATAGCACTGCCGTCAAGTGATGAAAAGAACAACTGGAGCTATATACAGCACGGGTCAGTCTCACAACCAGACATGTGAAAGTCTGTGTTTTGTGATTCCAATCACATAGAACTCACTAGTGGTAGTAAAAGTTCAGATTTTTGAGGAACATTTCGATTAAGAGCACAAGAATTCTGGGGTTATTAATATTGACATTTTCATACTGGTTGTACTAGCTGCTCATTTTGTGAGAACTTACCTAGCTGTATACATGTAATTGGGCACTTTTCTATGTGTATTATATTTTGCATTTAGATTAAAATTCATTGATCACCTATTTAGCACATGCCTTCTCTCTTTATGAAGATAATTAGCAGAGGAAATGAAGTGTATGCCAGTTTAATTAAACATGTGAAATTAAAAATTATGATTTTACAAAAGAAAACAAGATTGATAGATCATGTGGCCAAAGAAGGAGCTTCTCCAGGAAGGCATTTTAGCTGAGCCCGAGGATAAGAAGGAAGTCACAGCATGAAGAGCCGAGGCAAACAGTTGAGTGATTGCAGAAACTGCTCTGAGCAGAGAAATAAAGACAATCAAGTAGATTTAGGGCACAAGAGTGCATTACAGACAGAAAGTCAACTTGGGACTAAGTGATGTGAAAGGGAGGAAATGGGGTAGAAAGAAGTATTTTGATTTGCATTGCAGATGGGAGAAGATCAAAATAGTTTTGCAAGAAGCTTGCCAGGGTTGGCATAAGCCAAACTTAAGCTCTAGATCTGATTTACATAGTGAGAAACCCTGTCACATACCAAAAAACAAGGGCTGGGGATGTGGATCAGCGTTTAAAAACTTGCCTGGCATACACACAATCCCTAGTAACAGAGGGTGGGGGGAGGGAGGGAGGGAGAAAGAGGGGGAGGGAAGGAGGGAGGGGGAGAGAGAGGAGAGGAGGGAGAGGGAGAGGGAGAGAGAGAGAGAGAGAGAGAGAGAGAGAGAGAGAGCAGTTTTTAAAACCAAACAAAATATGATCTTATCAGTAGTTAAGTAATGGTTTATTTTGACATGGGTTTCAGTGTGTTTCGTGCAATTTGAAGTAAAAGCCTGCTTTCAGGGCTGGGTTGTGAATGAGACACTGTTACTCCAGCTCTGCCAGTCTCAGTGCCCTTGGCATTCCCACTGGTCCCTCTTCCCCTTTGCCCTCTCCCCTCATCCACAGTTGTCTCTTCGCCAGTTCACGTTTCAGCTCTGTCAGTCTCACCTCATTTCCTTCCCTCCCTTTCCCCTTCCCATCCTGTTCACATTTTATTGAAAGGCTTAAAACATTTTTTTATGCTTATCATCTTCTTTAATCCTAATAGAACCTCATGTTTGTGGAGACACAAGCGGGAAATGGCCTGAGGTCATAGCCCAGACTCCTGACTCCAAGTGTAGTATTTTGCCCACTATACCATTGAGACCTTTGACTCTTTCAAATCTGCATATGCTGTGTTGTATTTTAAATGTTTTCAGCCATATTGTGAGTAATGAAGGTGTGTTCTATTGTTTGCTAGAGTCTGAGAGAGGTATCTTTTTTGAGGAGCTGTGTGAATATTGTGTGTGTGCACGTGCACATACCTGCATTTCACTTTTGCTGCACTTGAAATCAATTATATACTAAGAAAATTTGAAATTATTAATTGCTTTTGAAGTAATTAAGAGCATTCTTGTAGCATATCCAGGCTATCATAATTACCTTAATTTCATCTGTCATCTTAATTATGTAGAAAAAGAGAGACCTTGTTGCAGATGGCTAAATAGGTTGGAATTGGGCTAAGAAGATGGCTCAGTGATAAAATGCTTGCTGTGCAAGCCAAAGGAGCAGAGGTCAGTTCCCCAGCACCCAAATCAAAGCCAGGTGGGCTTGGCAGCCACTTGTAATCCCAGTGCTCAGAAGGTGAAGACAGGATCCCTGGAGCACGTTGGCTTGCTAAACTAACCAAACAGGTGAGCATGAGATTCAACAAGAGACCCTACCTCAGAAAATAAAGTGGAGAGCCATCCAAGAAGACACTCAGTATCATCTTCTGGCCTCTACACACAAGTGCACATACATGCACCCACACACATATACACATACAGAGAAAAAGAAAACTAAAATAAATTGTAACCCAAGATCTCATAATAGATGCAGAGGTAGGAGAGGGAAACCGGATGAATACTTAGAACTTAGTTTATTTCCCACTGCTAGCTTTCTTCTCTCTGACTCCCTGTCCTCCCTTTATTTTTATGTGTATGAGTATATTGCTTGCATGTATTTTATAAGTGCACCCTTGTCATGCAAAGCCCACAGAGGTCAGAAGAGGGCATCAGATTCCCCTGAAACTAGAGTTATAGACAGTTGTTACCTGCCATATGGGTGCTGGAAATCGAACCCAGGTCCTCTGCACAAGCAGCCAATGCTTTTAACTACTGAGCCATCTCTCCAGCCCCTGACTCCCTGTCTCTTTAATACCACTACCAATGAATAAGGATTAGAAAAGTTGGAAGAGATAAATTCTGATCATTTGGTGGTAGTTATGTGGGGTCTGAGAGATTAAGAAGATGGATTAAGGGGGTTGGAGAGATAACTCAGGGATTAAAAGAATACACAGCGGGGCTGGACAGATAAGAGCACTAGCTATTCTTGCAGAAGACCCAGGTTTGAATCCCAGCACCCACATGGCCACTAACAACTGCTTGTAACTTCAGTTCCAAGGGATCTGACACCCTCTTCTGACCTCCATGGGCAGTGCACAACACGGGTGAGCTTACATCCATGCAGGCATAACACTCATAAACATAAAAATAAAAATTAATTTATAAAAAAGAGCATGTACTGCTCTTTCAGAGGACTAGAGTTCTGTTCCCAGCACCCACATCAAGAAGCTCACAACAAACTGTAACTCCTCCAGCTCCAGAGGATCTGTATGCCTTTTGTCTCTATGGACATCTGCATTTGTGTGTGCACATGCACGCATACACACACACACACCGTTTAAATTTTTTTTAAAAAGAAGATGGATTGGGGCTGGAGAGATGGCTCAGTGGTTGAGAGCACTGACTGCTCTTTCAGAGGACCTGGATTCGATTCCCAGTATCCACATGGCGACTACAAACTGTCCTTAACTCTAGTTCCAGGGGAATCCGATGCCCTCTTCTGACCTCTGTGGCATTGAACAACACAGGTGTACTCACATACCTGCAGACAGTATACTCATACACATAAAATAAAAATAATAAATAAAGTATATTTTTTAAAAAGATGGATCAAAATGGACATCAATGGCCAGGCATGGTGGTATGTGCCTATTGTAGGCTCAGTACCTGAGAGGCAGAGGCAGGAGGTTCATAAGTTCAAGACCAGCCTGGGCTACATAGTGAGACTTTCTCTTAAAAAAGAAGAGAAGAAGAGGATGGTGGAGGGGAGGGAGGCTTTCTGAAAATGAAAAAAATCCCTAAGTTGAGCCTTCAGAAAAGGTCAAACAGAGTAGCTTAGTCAGCACCACTTAGTGGCACCAGACACCTCTGCAGGTGGTTGTGGTTATTTATTTTATGAAGTAGCAATGATTTATGTAGTATTGCCTTGGAATAGTTCCTAAAGTATCTTCACATCTCCCTGTATGATACAAGGATGTTTTGGGGTCAGATGACATGTTAATGCACCAGACTCCTTTATTAAGGCTTTCAATCCCCAACTTTACCTTTCCTTTTTTTTCTTTTTTAAATTTTTTTACTGTAGAGTGATTCTCACCAGTTCCGTGTCATGGCAGCTGTCCTTCGCCATTGTTTACTAATCGTAGGTCCAACCGAAGACAAAACGGAAGAGCTGCACAGGTGGGTATCCTCTGCGCCTGCACCTCAGTGGGGCACACCATCAGCTCTCCTTGTAGTTATGCTTCTAGTGTGAATGACTAGTTAGGGGTACAAGAGAGCGAAAGCTACTGAGTCAGGTGGCCAGAGTTGTGCCTTAGTGTGAAGTGTTTATTCTGCCTTCTTTATTACGTTTACGTCCAGCTTGAGAATTTGGCATTTGTTGTATTCAGCAATGAAATCCAGAACAACAACGATACCACAGAGTTCTTGTATACTTTCTGTGTATGGCATTTTGCTAATTGCTGTCTAAAGAATTCATTTCAGGGTTGGGGATGTTGCTCTCTGGTAAAGTGCTTGCCTACCGTGTATAAGACTCTGGGTTCAGTCCCCAGCACTGAAAAGAAAGTTACCTTATTTTACTCGTGACACATCATATACACACAAGTGTGAGCTTTTCTGTAGGTTCTGGGGATTCAAACTCCAGTCCTCACAAAAGCTTGATGGAGTTGAGTCTCTAATCCCCATGCTCTTATGGAGAAATGGGAGTTGGAGACAGAGTCCCCAGAAGCTCATGGGCCAGCAAGCCTGTGTACACAGCAGAAAAACAGCAGAGATACCAAGTCTATCAAAGCAATGTGAAAAGTAAAGATTGGCACCTGGGGTTGTTTTCTATCCTCTCACGTGAACACTGTGTTCACACACACACAAATGATGCAGACATATGCTTACACACATCATATACACACAAATAAAAAAAGATATATGTATATTATATTTAAAATTACTCAAATTATATGAATTGTCAAAGATATTAATGGACTGTTAAAATTCATAGTTCTGGGGCTGGAGAGATGGCTTAGTGGTTAAGAACACTGGCTGTTCTTGCAGAAGACCTGGGTTTGAATCCCAGCACCCACATGGCAGCTAACAACCGTCTGTAACTCCAGTTCCAGGGGATCCGATGGCCTCTTCTGTCCTCTGTGGGCATTGCATGACATGGGTGCACTTAGCTACGTGCAGGCAATATACTCATACACATAAAAATAATAAATAAAATAAAAAGTCATCGTTCCTTGGAGCTGGGGGTCTGTAGCTTAGTAGAGTGTTTGTCTTCTGTGCACAAGGCCCTGGGTTTGGCTCTCAGCACTGAAAAATAAAAATTACCATTCTCTGAGAACAGGTGGATGGGACTTAATAAATTTTCCCGTTCTTATTTATTCTAAATTTGACTTACAGTAACAAAACATCTTACTTCATTATAAGACTATTTGTGCTTTTTCTGTAAGAATACAGATGGTATGTTAAGCATTTCAGTAATGTAAATATACAAAGAAACAACTGGCATTAGCTCTACTTTATAAAGTCCTTAACATAAGGTTCTTCCTAATAGTAGAAGTACCTCTGGAGTACTTAAAATTTTCTAAATATGACTTAAATAAAAAGTTTATAGAAGCAACCATAGGATAAATTATATATACTCTTAGTTCTCAGTCATCTGTATATTATTTTAATATTTGGATCAGTGTTTGATATCACATTGAATGTATAGGCAGATTGTCTTCATGTACTCTTTGTCCTATAATCCTTGAAAAGATTGTGCTCTTCATGATTGGAAAGTGTGAATTCTAAGGTGGGTATGGTAGTGAACATCTATAAAACCAGCATTCTAGAGGTGAGGTTATCAATTTCTTTCTGGTCAACCTAGGCTATATGATATGAGACTCTCAAAAAAAGTAAATTTTTCTTTAGCAACAGAGCAAACATTCCTTTAATTTTCTTAAGACTGTCCATAGGGGAAAAAAATCAGATTATCTGCAATAAATCATATCCTAAAAGATTTCATTCAGTGGGGCTGGAGCAGTGGCTCAGTGCTAAGCTCATCAGCTGCTCTTGCAAAGGACCCCAGTTTAGCTCCCAGCACCCACATGGCAGCTGACAACCATCCCTAACTACAGTTCCGGGGACCTGACATCCTTTTCTGGCCTGTGTAGCCACTTCATGCATATGGTGCACTTAAATACATATAGTCAAAACACTCATACATATAAAAAAAATTTTTAAATACTGTTTTAAAAGATTTCATTAAGCATTTTTACCCTCTAGTTTTTTTTTTTTTCTCTCATGATCAAGAGACACTAACAATTTCAACATTAACAGTAAAAGAAAATTCGTTTCAAAGCTCAGAAGTTTTTTTTTTGTTTTTTTTTTTAAATCAAGTATCACAGGGGGAGGGTCATATAAGGCTGTAAAGAGAAAGAGTTCTGACAGGCATTGCTAGTCTGGTCACAGATGCACTGCCAAGATTTCTCAGAAGAATGAGTTTAATGCTTTAACACCCAGGATGTGTCAGAAGAAAGTAAAACAACATAGAGATATTTCGAGTCAGATTTTTTAAAGTAATCGAATTACTCTACTTTCCTTTGTGATACTTCTCCTTTTGTTTTTAAATTTGTCTTTATGTTAGAAGCTGCTTTGATAAAAATCTGTCAGCCTCACTGTAAATGTGAAGGTATATCCTTAGAGTGACAGATAGAATTATGAATATCTCTCAAAGGCATTCCTGTGAGATTGAGGTTGCTGCTGACTCAACAGTTCTGCTTACTTAACAGTTTACCTAGAATGGCCCTGCATGTCCCTTTAATCAGAATTAAAGTGATTAGTGTCATTTTGAACAGTGATGACTCCAGGCTAATCCATTTAAATACAGAGAAAACTGCACTAACCTCAAGACCTATTTTAGGAGCTTACTGCTGTTAAATTAGCTCCTCCATAGTGACCCTCAGTGCAATACTTGTATAAAACAATGCACATATAAGAACAAATTAGATTTTTTAGGAAGGATATTTAAAAATCGTCTTTTGTTCTTTGAAAAGTTATTTTCAAGTTTATTTTTTACTCTTTTTGGTGCTTTGATTTGTTTTAAGGGAAACTATAATGACATAGGTAGGTAATCCTGAGATTAATGTAGTTATATATTATCAAACTGTAGGGGTTATGATGATAATTATGTAAGAATTCATAAATCAGCCTTTTCCTGGCACTTAGCAAGCCCTTAACAGGAGCCACCTCTGCTGTGCTTCTTCTACTACTGTAATAAGCATATTGACTTTTAGATCCAATATTTAGTTCAAAATCTTTTTAAGTTCCTTCTTGATTTTTGTTTTAATATTTTACTTAGGAACTTATTTCTGTGTTTATCCTATAATCATGTAAAGAAATCTGTTTTCTGATAGTCTCATTTTTTTCTGCAGTCAGAAATGCTGTGATTACATGCACATTAGAAGATTCTACAGGTGCTTTAGAAACGTAGAAAGAGCGAGTGAGCCAGCAGCATTTTTCTGGCATATTCTTCTGTAAGACAGTGCCATTATTTTCCAGAGAAATGTAGACATTGACATAACTGAAATGGGTTAATGCACAAAGATAGCAGACCTTGACCTTTATTTCCATTTACCAACATTTTAAGTGCTTTTCCTGTTTCATTCCCTTTTGTCTAAACTTACAACAACTACTTAATACCCACCTATCTACTTTTTTGGTTAGAAGACATCCTATTTCTGTTCCATTTCTATGCTTTGCCTGAAAGTATTTTCAGTGTTCCTTTCTGTAATTAATAAGGTTTTCCATAAACACTTAGCTACCAAAGTTGCATATGATTTATTTTATTTTGGAGAGGAAATCGATGGTGATGGCTTACGTGGTGGTAAGGAGAGGTCAGAACCGGGTCTAGCTTCATTTATCTTACTCTAAATTTTAGTTTCTTTTACTCACTAAGCATATTAGCATGTACGTTTTGATCCACTGGAATGAATTTTTGTGTGATACTAGGTAAAGATCCCCCTCTTCTTTTGATATTTTAGGTATTCATTTTCTCCAACATTTGTTGAAAAGGCTTGGCTTCTCTATTGCCCTTGGCGTTTTTGACCAAATCTGTGAGGGTTTGTTTTGGGGTTCTTTATTCTGTTCTGTCGGTCTGTGTATAAGGTCATTACCACAGTTTTCTGATTGCAGTAACTGTTAAGTTTTGAAAACCAGGATATGTGAATCCTTCAAGTTTTCCTCCTTTTGCAGAATTGTTTTGGTTCTTCATAGTCCCTTAAGATTCCATATAAATTTAAGGGTGAATTTTCCCATTTCTATAAAAATGTCATTGGGATTTTGGTAGGAATTACGTTGAGTTTGAAATATCAACACCTTAACAGTGTTTGGTCTTCTAATCATCATATATAGCACACTTAATAAATTTTTGAAAATGAGATTATTTTATTTTCATTTATATTCATTAGTCAGCACTTTACTATGTGTCTGGCACTAATTTGTGCTTTAGGACAGCAAAGATCAAAGAGTGCCGTCCATCCCCGAGGTTCCTCAGGATGAGTAAGGTCAGTTCTTTTGGTGAATGCTGTCTCAGATGCGAGCAAGCATTAAAGATACGTGGGAAAAGAAGCATTTACTTTTGAGATACCAGGAAGAAGTATTTTGTTTTGTTATTATTAAAGTTTCCAACTCTTTAAACTGATTTTCCGTAACGTACCAATTTCCTAGGTAAAAAGAGATGTTCTGAGGTGTTCCAAGGACTCCCCAGTACATGGCCTGGAGGAACAGAGACACTAAATGGGGAGACAAGACATAAATATTATGAAAAGTTAAATAACAGCTCAAGACAAGGATAGAAAGAGACCACAAGATAGTTGAGTAGTTTTCAGTTCACTGTGGTCTGACAAGAAGGGCTCTTCCTCACTCATGCTCCGCCTGTCCTCCACCCTCTTCCTGCCTCTGAGGATAGCTTTTTCTGCTGTCTGGAAGCCTCCTTCAGGCTTACTTTCTTGCCTATTTATCCCTAAACATCAATTCATCCTTTTACCTTCTTTTTTCTTCCTCTTTGCCCCATCCTACCTACCAGTCTCAACATACCCAACCCCAGGCCACCTCCATAGCCCTGTGGGAATGTTACTCAACTGATAGATGGGCTCATCTTCTCCACTGCATACACAGTTGTTCTTCAGAAAGCAAGTATCTGC